AAAAAAAAAAAAAAAAAAAGGGATTGCAGACTTCTGAACAAATAAATACAATAAAAGTAAGGTACACTGACCATATTGTAATTGACTTAAAATCTCTGATTTTTTTTCATCTAACCAAAATATCCTTAAAATCATCAAGCCTATTTCGATGTCATTTTCTTTTTCAATTTTACTGTGACAAAATACATATAACAGATTTGCCACTTTTTTTGGTTTCCATTTTAATACTAAATCTTAGGCTTTTGTTGGAAAAGACCTTATGTATGTGATGGTAAGGCTATCCTTTGTCAAAATTGCCTACAAAAAATATCTATGGCATTTTATTAAAATAGTTACAGTAACACTTGCATAACTTATGAAGTACTTAAAACAATTATAGTGCATTGTCCTTACCATGCTAAATACTATGATTTCTCTTACTCCAAAGATCTTAAAATTCTTTAAAAATATGTAATTTTATTATTCTAAGTATACTGGTAGGAGCTCTGGTGGTGTAGTGCTTAAGGCACTTGACTGCTAACAGAAGGCTGGCGGTTCAAACCCACCAGCCACTCCTTGGAAGGAAGGTTGGGAAATCTACATCTGTAGTGATACCACCTTGGAAATCCAAGGAGGGGTTGCTATGAGTCAGATCTGACTCGATAGCAGTGCTTTTGGTTTTCGTTTGGCAGTATACTAGTAAAATATTTCTACTTCTATTTTAGAAATATTAGCTAAAAGATAAGCCATTAGGAAGACTTCTCATGGTAGAGATAGAAAGAGCCAAGAGCTCAACCGCATCATCCAGCCACCTGACCCAAAATGGCCACATTAGGCAGGTATACTCTGGAGAAACATTTGCTTTTTAAGGACAAAACAAAACAGAACAATTTGAAACAATTAGGTTGAGTATAGTATTTGCATAAGGATTGTATGAAAACTTAAAGAAGGGGTAGAGAAAGGATTCTGACTTCCTTCAGCTCTCTCATCTCACCACTTTGCTTTTAACAACAATGGAAAAAAAAAAACCAGGAAGAGAGAAAAGGTTAAGGGGTTTGGAGAGTATCTTGCAGCAGCAGGTTTCTCTTGCCTTGAAATACAATGAAATTGAACCACTTAAAAAAAATAGTATACCATGCATACACCACTCTATTGAAAGCCACATCCTTCAAGCCTAAGTTGCTTTGTTTTAGGCACACACACACACACACACACATATATATGAACACACACATATATATGTACACACACATACACATCACTCAAATTTGTACATCAAACTAAAAGAGACTTTCAGAAAGAACACTGAGGCTAAAAATGATGATAGGCAATACAGAGATAGAATGATAGAATGACATTCTTGTCTTCATAGAAGAAGCCAACATTGCTGAATTTACTTACATGTTTTGGGTCTTTGGAATCCAGGCTATCTATGACTATTTGTAGGTCCTTGATCTCCTTCTGCTTTTCAGCAATTTCTTGTCTTTGCTTTTCCATCTGTAGTTCTAGATCCAAAGCTTCCTGGCGTAATTTATTTAGAAGTTGTATCCTATCACTCAACTGCTTGAAAAGAAGGTCCTTCTCTGCTTCTGAAATCTAATCTCCCCACACCCCAACACACAATTAACAGGGGGACACCAACATTGGTTTGCAAAGTTAAACAAATTCTACAATTCAAAGATTATTCTATCCTCTATTAGTTTTTTAATAAAAGTTAAAATGTGAGGAATCTAGACACTCCATTCATATCTTATACTTTTATGTTTATTACATATAGAAAATCTTATTTTATAAAAGTTTATGAAAACTAATACTACAATAAAGGTTACAAATGAAGCTGTTATTCTAGTACAAGTGATTTGGAAGTAATTAATAACAACAACAATATTATTAATAAACAAGCAGCCAGCAAACCGATTCCGACTCACGATGACCCCATGTGTAGCTGAATTTATGTAACATTTACTATGTGCCAGGCACTGTTCTAAGCGCTTTACATACTTTAATTAATTTAATACTCAAAATTTAAAAAGTAGAAAGTATATTTACCCTAATTTTACAGATAAAAAAATTGAGTCTTACAAAAGTTATTAAATAGTTTGCCCAAGGTCTCATTATTATAGGTAGTAGAGCCAAGACTTAAACCTAACTAGTGCGCTGCCAGACCATGTCCCTAATTACTACACTACAGTGTCCTAGCGGTATAAGTATTAAGGCAATCAACCAAAAAATTCTCAGTACTAGTACAGAAGCAGTAACCTTAATACCCTATCTCCTATTTCTAATAGTTTTTAGCATTAAAATGTATACAAATGTAGAAATGTATCTCAAAATCTATATGAAATTATAAAAACAACAAAACAAGGATGCAGAACAAAGAATGCAAAGAAATGAAATATTGATAATGACTGTCCACAAGTGATGGGATTGTTGGTGTTTATTGATCCTTTTTTAAACTCTTCTAAATTTCCAAACCACCACTCATCTTTCAGTTTGTCATACTGTAGTAGCTTGCATGTTGCTGTGATACTGGAAGCTATGCCACTGGTATTTCAAATACCAGCAGGGTTATCCATGGTGGACAGGTTTCAGCGGAGCTAGCTTCCAGACTAAGACAGACTAGGAAGAAGGATGTGGTCAGGTGCACTTCTGAAAAAATCAGCCACCGAAAACCTTAAGAATAGCAGAGAAACACTGACATAGTGTCAGATGAGCCCCTCAAGTTGGAAGGCACTCAAAATATAACTAGGGAAGAAGTGTCTCCTCAAAGTAGAGGCAACCTTAATAACGTGGATGGAGTAAAGCTTTTGGGACCTTAATTTGCTAAGTGGCACAATTCAAAATGAGAAGGAACAGCTGTAAACAACCATTAATAATCAGAACGTTGAATGTATGGAGTATGAATCTAGGAAAATTGAAAGCTGTAGAAACATGAAATGGAACACAAGAGGATTGATATCTTAGGCATTACTGCATTTTATTAGAGCTGAAATACACTGTCCAATATGAATTGGACAATCATATAGTCTACTACGCCAGGAATGACAGATTAAAGAGGAATGGGGTCTCATTCATGGTCAAAAAGAACATTTCATCTTTGGCTGTACAATGATGTCAGTGATAGGATAATATCCATATGCCTATAGGGAAGACCAGTTAATATGACCATTATCCAAATTTATGCATCAACCACTACAGCCAAAGATGAAGAAACTAAAGATTTTTTTTACCAACTTCTGAATCTGAAATTGACTAAACATACAATCAAGATGTATTGATAACTACTAGTGAACAGAGTACGAAAGCTGGAAACAAAGAATAAGGATGAGTAGTTGGAAAATATGACATTGGTGACAGAACTGACTCTGGAGATCGCATTACAGAATTCTACATGACCAACTTATTCATTGCAAATACCTTCTTTAAGCAACACAAACAGTGACTATACACATGGATCTCACCAGATAGAATACACAGAAATCAGACTGACTCCATCTGCGGAAAGAGACAATGAAGAAACTCAGCATCATGACTCAGAACAAGGCTAGGGGCCAACCGTGGAACAGACCATCAGTTGCTCATATGCAAGTTTAAGCTGAAGCTTAAGAAAATTAAAACAAGGCCACAAGAGCCAAAATATGACCTTGAGTATGTTGTTATGTGCCATTGAGTCAAACCCGACTCATAGTGACCCCTCCTTGGGCTTCCGAGGCAGTATCACTACGGAAGTAGGATTGCCCAACCTCCCTTCCAAGGAGTGGCTGGTGGGTTTGAACCGCCAGCCGTCTGGTTAGCAGACAAGTGTCTTAGCCACTATGCTACCAGAGCTCCCGACCTTGAGTATATCTCACCTAAATATAGAGACCATCTAAGAATAGATTTGATGTACTAAATACCAGTGACCAAAGACCAGATGAGCCATGGGATGACATGAAGGACGCATGAGGAAAACAAAAGATCATTAAAAAGACAGGAAAGGAAGAGAAGACCAAAATGGACGTCAGAAGAGATTCTGAAACTTGGTCTTGAATGGAGAGTAGCTGAAGCAAATGGAAGAAATAATGAAGTAAAAGGGCTGAACAGAAGATTTCAAAAGGCAGCTGAGAGGGCAAAGTAAAGAATTATAATGAAATATGCAAAGATCTAGAGTTGGAAAATCAAAGGGGAAGAACATGCTCAGCATTTCTTAAGCTGAAAGAATTAAAGAAAACATTCAAGCAACATTGAGTTGCGACACTGAAGGATTCTATGGGCAAAAAACTGAATGAAGCAGGAAGCATGAAAAGAAGATGGAAGAAATACACTGAGTCATCAGATAGTAGATGTTCATCCATTTCAGGAGATAGCGTATGATCAAGAACTGACAGTACAGAAGGAGGAAGTCCAAGATGCACTGAAGGAATTGGTGAAAAACAAGTCTCCAGGAATTGACTGAATAGCCACTGAGATGTTTCAACAAATACATGCAGTACTAGAAGCACTCATTTGTTTATGCTAAGAAATTTGGAAGAACTGCCATCCACTTGGAAGGGATGTAGGGGATCCTGCATAAAGAGGGAGAACAATGTGGTATAAAACTCAAAATCATTTGGAGGCAAAAAAAAAAAAAAGGTGGGGACCAGGTTTGCTGGTCCAATAGAGCCTGGTGTAACCACTGAGACTATGGCCCCTAGCTGCCTTTCAGGTCTGGAATTGAACCCACAACTGTGGTTTCCAGCCAAACAAAGTACAGGCATGTGAGTTAAACATTTACCTCAAGTAGACACACGCCCTGGAGAGAACAATCATGGGAGAAGGAAGGGCTGCTTATGCACAGGGAGATAGCTCAGGATGCAGAAGAGTATGAAGGGATAGACACTGGGAGGAGGTAATTATGGGGAGGAAATGGGAGGGGAGCTGCTGAATTGTAAATTTTGGTCAATGACATGAGACAAAGTATATGTGAACTGCTGTATGAAAAGTGAATTTACTCTGTAAATCTTCACCCAAATCCTAATAAAAAAAAAAAGAAATTTGGAAGACAGCTACCTGGCCAACCGACTGGAAGAGATGCATATTTGTGGCCATTTCAAAAGAAAGGTGATCCAACAGAACATGGAAATCATTGAATAATATCATTAATATCACACACAAGTAAAATTTTGCTGAAAATAATTCAAAAGTGGTTGCAGCAATATATCAACAGAGAACTGCCAGAAATCCAAGCTGGATTCAGAAGATGGCATAGAACAAGGGATATATATCACTGCTGATCTCAGATGGATCTTGGCTGAAAGCAAAGAACACCAGAAAGATGTTTACATATGTTTTATTGACTATGCAAAAGCATTTTGTGGATCATAACAAATTATGGATAACATTATGAAGAACAGGAATTCCAGAACACTTATTGTGGTCATGAGGAACCTATACATAGACCAGGAGGCTGTCATTTAAACAGAACAAGGGGGATAGTGCATGGTTTAAAATGAGGAGGGGTGTGCATTAGAGTTGTATCTTTTCACCACACTTATTTAATCTGTATTCTAGCAAATAATCCAAGAAGCTGGACTATATGAAGAAGAATGCAGCATCAGGATTGGAGGAAGGCTTAGTAACCTGTGCTGTGCAGATGACACAACCTTGCTTGCTGAAAGCAAAGATGGCTTGAAGCACTTACTGATGAAGATCAAAGACTATATAGCCCTCAGTATGGATTACACCTCAACATAAAGAAAACAAATATCCTAGCAACATCATGATAAATGATGAAAAGACTGAAGTCATCAAGGATTTCATTTTATTTGGATCCACATCAATGACTGACAGCAGCAGTTAAGAAATCAAACATATTCATTGGGTAAATCTGCTGCAAAAGACCTCTCTAAAGTGTTAAAAGAGCAAAGATGTCACTTTGAGGACTAAATGCACCTGACCCAAGCCATAGTATTTTCAGTATCTTCATATGCAAGTGAGACCTGGACAATGAATAACAAAGATCACAGAAGAACTGATGAGTTTGAATTGTGGTATTGGTGAAGAATATTGAATGTACCATGAACAGCTAGAAAAACAACCAAATCTGTCTTAGAGGAAATACAACCAGAATGCTCCTTAGAGGTGAGTATGGTCAGAGTTTGTCTCACATACTTTGGTCAGCAAAAAAAGAGAAGATCCTCAATGAGATGTTGTGACACAAACTGTGAGGATGGACCCATGCATGGCAACGGTTGTAAGGATGGTGCAGGCCTAGGCGGTATTTCATTCTGTTGTACACAGTGTTGCCATTAATTGAAAACAATTTGATGTCACCTAACAACAACAAATTTCCAAAAGGAAGCCTTGGTGGAATAGGGTTAAGTGCTCAGCTGCTAACCAAAAGGTCAGTGGTTCAAATCCACCAGCCACTCTTGCTTCTGTAAAGATTATAGCCTTGGAAACCCTAACAGGCAGTTCTACTCTGTCCTACAGGGTTGCTATGAACAACGGCAACAGGTTTATATCTCCAAAATCCTTCCCGTAATCAAAATACCTTTACAATCACAAAAAGAAAAAGAAAATTGAAATTTTCTGTTTACTGTGAAATTATCTCATTATAGAATTGTAAATTATAGCAAATTCTCATTAAATTGAAGTTTTACAGATCTGAAAACTATGAATAAGAAGTAGGCTGACGCCTACCCTTGTTAGCACGTCAAGGAAATTAACAGTGTAAAGAAAAATTTAGGCTTATATTTACTCATTTAAAATAATTTTTTTCCCCCAAGTACATTTTATAAGCATATGTTTATTTCAAAATTATATTATTTAACCTACCAATCTATCTATATAAAGTTTTGGCCAGTGGTATTGTAAACCATTCTTATTTAATCATTAAAATAATTCTTGGTAACTCCCTCCACTACATCTCTCACTTTCAATCCATCTTTAAGTTCTCTCAGTTCTACTGCCAAATTTTACCTAGAATCAGTCTGCTTCTCTCCATGTTCACCATCATCTTCCTGGCCCAAGCCATTATCATTTCTTGCCTGTACTAAACAGTAGCCTCCTAACAGATGCACACATTTCTATTCTTTCCATCTTCCTCACGCCCACTCACTTTCCATAGAGTACCCAGGGTCTCTTATTTATATTTATAAATAGGATCAGGCAACTGTACTGCCCAAAGCCCTTCAAACGTTTCCCACTGCATTTAGAAAAAAAAATCAAACTACTTAAAATGGCCTAGAAACCTGGCATGACCTGGCCCCTAGTGATTCTTTAACCTCATCTCCCACTCTCACTCTACTGAGGACTCTTCAGCCTGAAGGCTTTTGCAGTGCCTCCTCTGCTTGGAATACTCTTCATTTCAACTCTGCCTCTTTGGCTCTTTCCCAGTCTAAACATCTTCTCCTCAGAGGGTCCCCACAATCTAAATTAGATCCCTTTTATTATTTCTCTCAATTTTCTATTTTTTTTTTTTTTTTACTACACCACTACATTTTTTAACTATGTATTTCTTTTTCACTTGTTTATTGTCTATTTCCCCTATTAGTCTGTCCAAAAGGGAGTGATACAGATCTGCTTTGTTTACTACTCAGAGCCCAGTCCAGTCAGTGACCAGTATTTCATAAGCTTCCAGTAAACTTGACTCAATTTCTAGTTACTATATACTTTAAAGCGTAGTGCCTAAGACACCTGACTGTTAACCAGAAAGCTGGTGGTTCAAACCCACCAGCCATTCCTCGGAAGGAAGGTTGGGCAATCTACTTCCGTAGTGATACTGCCTTGAAAACCCAAGGAGAGGTCGCTATGAGTCGGGTCCGACAAGACGGCATATAACAACAACAACAACATATGCTTTAAAAGTACTAATACAGTTATCTTTTTTAAAAATCTACAATTTGTACTTAACATTCTTTTGCTATCTATTAAGGTATGTTGCTTGTTTCCACTGAGTTGATTCCAACTCATAGTGACCCGATATGATAGAGAAGAACTGCTCCACAGGGTTTTCTAGGCTGAAATGTTTATGGGAGCAGATCACCAAGCCTTTTCTCCTGCAGAACAGCTGGTGGGTTCGAATCACTGACATTTTGGTTAGCAGCCAAGCGCTATGCAGTTCTAGTCATAATTTTGAAATACTGCTTTTTAAAAGTTTAAATAAGCTGGATTATGTGGTTAATTGCCTCCCCAAACAATTGCCGTCTTTGCCATGAGACTAGAAGAACTGGATGATGCCAAGCTATCATTACTAAACATTTTGATCCAGGATTCTACAGCGGAATCCTGATCAAAAGAAGGAAGATGTAGAACAGAATTTCAAAATCTCACGGGCTCCAGACTTTCTGGAGTCATGGAGAGTAGATAAACCCTGAAAATATTCCCCTGAGATAATCTTTAAACCTTAAACCAAAAATATCTCCTCAAAGTCTTTTTAAAACGAAACAATAGTTTAGCTTAGCTAGTAAAAAAATATCATGCTTGAGCATTGTGCTCTTTTAAGAACTATCTCTATGGGATCAAATTACAACAGCAACTAGAAAGATTAGATAGGAACCTCAGGGGGCAGTGAGTTTATGTTAACGGGAGAGGAACAACTCAGAAAGGAGGGTGAAAATGGTTGCACAAGTCCAAGAATATTATCAATGTCACTGAACTGTACATGTAGAAACCGGTGCATGTTTTACTGTATATTTCTCAATTAAAATAAAAACTAAAACGTCAAAACATTTCCTTTTTTGAATTTCCCCCCTATGCAATTATACCATGGTTTTGAGCTGCTTACTTCTTCATGGTGCACTTTGGTAATATGAGTGCTATTCTTTTTTGTACACCATTCCTTTTTTTGCTGCTTGTATTTGGTAGTAGTCACATTACATTAAAGATGTCTTAAGCTAAGTCCTATAATCTTATAGGTGGAAGTACTTAATAAAATTAGAAGAAATACATCAACAAGCAATTTCCTTGGGTAAAACAGCAGTTTTCATAATACAGTAGACAAAATACATTTTTACATAAATTCTAAGTAATTAATTTATTTCTAAACATCTTATAAAAGGCTAATAGGATATCATCATGAATGAAAGGGAAATGTGATTGGGAAATGCCAGAACCCGTATCTGACTCTGAAATTAGTTATTCCATAATTAGTGAAGCAGCACTGATTTAAAAATCATTTTCCATGAATATGAAAGGAACCAACATTTCATTTTTGCATTTCTACTTAGCAATGCTGTTTTGTTTGTACATACTTTTTTTAGTTGTATAGCTTCTTCCAGTTGTTTATATTCTTCAGTAGCTCTTAAAATTTGTTGTTCTGCCTTTTCTATTTCATGATGCAGTTCTGATAGTCGAGTTTGCGCTACCATTTAAAAAAACATGCACAATACACATGTAAAAAAACTTTGAATTCTGAAATTTTTACCACACAGATGTTTTTCTTTGAAGTTACCTCCAACTAAATTCTCTCACTATAAATTACAGGAATAAAACAGTAATTACTTATGATGGTTTTTCATCGATTAGTTAATCTCTATAATAAATTGTTTCATAATATGGTATAGCACTGTGATTCAGTCTTTTATTTGTAAAATTCTTGACATTAAAAGGGTCTTTACTCAATATTCCCAATGTTAGAGAACCCTTTTGAAAGGATAAATAAATTATTGGTTAAACATGCACTTATACATCGCTAAATCATAATCAGATTTAGGATATTAAAAATAAAAAAAAAAAACATTTCTGAGGCAAATGCTTTATTATTGGGCTCAATATCAAGAAATTCACTACTTTATTTTTTTTCCCAGCTATAAGTGATCTCAAAACAATTTTTCACTACCTCAAATTTCTGATTTCTCTCACTCTCTCCTTTCCTGCCTGGCTGTCAACCAGAAGATCAGCAGTTCAAAACCACCAAGGTCAGCGGTTCAAACCCACCAGCTGTTCCATGAAAGGAAGATGGGGCAATCTCCTTCTGTAAAGATTAACAGCTTTGGAAACCCAGTGGGGATCACTATGAGTCAGAGTTGACTCTATGGTAGTAAGTTTTATTTTTTGTTTTTAGTATACAACTATATGCCCCTTGAAACTAGTCTGCACATGTATTTGCTCTATTTTGGCTTTCCCCTTTCAGAGCCTTGCATATAACATATGTAGGCAAGGAGAACTCAGCCTCTCCTTTCCCTTTTCCAAGTCAAACTCTACTGGCTTTCCATGTTTTTTTACTTAGCTACCAACCAAGGGAAAGTAAGTTGCTAATCTGATTGGTGAGTGTGCCATGATTGCTAGTGGGATGCAATTCAGGTCTGCATTCTTCTTCCATATTCACACAGCTAACTGGATAAATGCATTCAAAGTTTGTCATTAACAGAGCCTCTAAAGTACCCTCTCGGCTTGACTTCTTCCTCCATGTGACTTTGCTAGAAAATGGTATATCTCTGGAATTTTCTTTAGCCCCCTTGGGTGATTTGGAGGGAAAAAGGGTGGGAAGGTGAAGTGCCGGGCAGGCCAGGAAAAGTAGGATACCAGTCTTCAGCCAAAACATAAAAACAGTATCTGATACAGCTTATCCAAAGTGCTGCTTTATGTTCTGGCTACATGCACAGCAATCAGTAAAATGGTATTTTACTTGCTTCGATTATTATTAATTATGTATTTGTGTATAGACAGTGTTTCACTGCTATTCATAAGGTCTTCAGCGGCCAATTCTTTCAGAAGTGGATGGTCCTATCTTTCTTCCTAAATCTATCCTAGAAGAAGTGCAGCTGGAATGCTCCCTAGAAGTAAGAATGGCCAGACTTCATCTCACTTACTTTGGTCATGTGGTCAGAAGGGACCAGTCCCTGGAGAAGGATATCATGTTTGGTAAAGTTTGGTAAAAAGAAAAAAAGGGAAGCCCCTCAATGAGATGGGTTGACACAGTGGCTGGAATGTTGGCCTCATCCATAACAAGGCTTGTGAGGATGATGCAGGACAGGGCAGTGTTTCATTCTGTTGCACACAGGGTCACTATGAGTCTGAATTGACTCAACAGCACCTAACAACAACAATAACATTTTATGTGTAGAGCTCCAGTGGGTATAAGGGCTATTTGGCAGGGCAGGATTTAAGCATTCTTGAACCTCCTGGACATGATGGCTATCAATTTATAGTAAAAAAAACCCATCCTCAGCTCTAAGAGAAATCATTAGAAAATAACTTTCTAGATGTACTTTTTTATGTAAAAGAACTATAATGCATTATCATAAACATGTTTAAGTGATTAAAAGAATTGTGAAAAAAATTTGCCTACAAACTTAATCTTCTTATATTTTTAAAGAATGTAATTTTTTTAACCTGCACTTATTTTTTTTCCTTTGTCCTCCAGCACGTCCAGTGGCGCCTGCGCTTTCAAGTTAACTTGCTCATTTCTAAGTCGCTCCCCTTCATCTGGCTCCATCTTCCTGATCTGTGCTGGCTGGGCATTATCAATAATGGAACTCTCTGTGGTGAACATATTTCTCTTGTATCTGGATTTGCCAATGTAAGGGCTTTCATCTGGGGCTTTATCAACTTCAACATACTAAAAGCAAAATAAATTAATAAATTCATGGTATAATAAATAACTTCAAAGCAATCAAATGGCATTATTCATTTTTGTAGTGGAAAACACAGCACAGAATTGCCTAAATTTATATTGAGTCCTATCTACAGGCCTAGAAATTGAAAAACACACATCATTCTTTTTTCTTATTGCTAATATACATCAAAAAAGAGTAAGAACTGAAAATGATCTCAAGAAAAACCCCTCTGTCCCAAAAGAATGAAAGGGCTTGGACTGATTGATTAAAGAGCTACCCACACAATCATATGACTTTGAGCACTGCTTAATCTCTAAAATCAGAAATCTGGTTGTTTTATTTTGGTTTCTAAGTTGATATAGGTAAAATCTTAGTCTATTAAATCTTAATAACTGAATTTTTAAAATTAAACAGCATCACCCTTGCTACAGGAGCATTTATGGCATTTGTAATAATAATGGTTGATTAATACTAAATTCAGTGACTAATGAAAAAGCAAGGTAGGGAGACAATCAAGTTTGGATCTGAGGAAGCTGCCCCAGCCACTCTCTCAAGCCTGGTAACTGTGGGCAAATTCCTCCTGGGGCTTTCTGCCTCATGAGGACACTGCTATAACCTACTGAGCTAAATAACTCATAGATTCAACCAAAATACAGTTCACTGTGCTGATGCCCTCATAATAAGAAAGAGGGCTAGTTATTGATAAAAATTCCTGAAATGTCCCTAGTCACCCCTCCCACGCTGGCTTTGAACTTGGGATTGCTAAAACATTAAAAAAAAAAAAAAAAAGAAAAAACTCACCTCTGATGGGTAATAATTCAGTGGCTCAAATTTAGCATCAATTTTATAAAAGGCCAATTCCTGCTCCAGTTCATACTGTTTCTGACAAGCTCGTGTTAGTTCCACAGTCTTCTGTTTTAGCTATTGGCCCAATTTGATATGAGATAACATATATAGTGTCAGTAAGTTAGTGTAAAGGTGCAATGATATAGCAGGTTCTAGTCATAATAATAATAGTATTTCTAATAATCCCACAGCAAACAGCACAACATTCAGAACACTTTACCTTAATTTAAAATTATAAATAATGAAACATAAAATTATCATTTCACATGAGATCACATAAGAGACCTTTGAAGTTTATGTACTATTTCAGGTTGCAATGGATAAAGATTTTTAAACCATCAAGTTTGCTTTATTCAAACATGAAAATAACTGTAACAATTATCTCTAAATAAACTGGTCTTTAAGTACCTGCTTCCTACTTTCCCAATAATTAGCCATAGTTTATTTCATGTACTTTGTGATTTTAAAAATTGCTTCAAATCATGGGGGGAATTTGATTCTGCCATTAACTACAAAAGAATAAGGCAGTGAGAAGAAGGGGAAAAAAGAAACTGGTTTTAATTGTTTTATTTGTAGCTAATGGCATCACAGGTTTTAAGTATCCAAAACATTATACTTTGTAGGGGGTAAGGAAATTTGTATAAACTCAGTCAGATCAAAATATGTAATATTAAATTTTTATAAAGTAAATCTACTATAATTATAACTTTTTAGTTATTCTTAAAAGTTTTTATAGCTGGGAGAAGACAAGAAATCATCCAATCTAATTCTCTGACTTCATAAAGAAAGAAAGAGAGTCCCAGACTGGTAAAGTAACTTGTTGAAGGTTACATATTACATTAGTGATACAGGCTGACTATTTTATTTTATAGGACTGGTTTTACCAGTCCCCTTTCTACTATACCAGTCCTTTGAGTTCATTTCAAAGGTCCACTAAGTGATTTATGCCCTTTTGTGTGTTGTGCCATGTCTGATATTAGATACCAGACAAAGAACATGCAGAAAAACTTCATTAATATAAAAATGCAAAAGAACAAAATATAAACAAACACGTACAGTTTATAACATCCAGAAAATTAAAGTCGTGCATAATTTAGTTTACAGTCACCTCTTGATTATCTGTCAAAATGGAAGCAATGCTAGCCTACAAAATAGGCAATATTGATTTTGTACTCACTATGTGCCAAACATTGGGCTAAGCATCTTACATGTGCTATCTCACTAAATCTTCACAACTACCCTATGAGACAATGAAAGCTTCGCAGTGAGGTTAAATAACTTGCCCAATCACAAAGCTGGTAGTGAAAAGGGCAGACTTCAGTTCCCAGTCTCCTGATTTCAGATCCAACGCTCTCTTTTACCGTGCTGCCTTCAGTGTCCTGCTGCAGGGACCAACACACTGATGCTTTCACTGAATGCTCACACAGCACTCAGTCTCAAAACAACTCACAACAAGCAGCTCAACTAACTCTGGGCTTCTCTCTCCAAAGCTCATTGGCAGTAAGGCCTAACACAGCATATGTGACTGGAACCATGGATAACGCAGACAAATGATAATACTCTGTGCTTCTCAAAGTACTTGTGTGCTTTTATAGCACTAAGTTTAGGGTTGCTGTCGGTCAGAATCGACCCAGAGGCAGTGGGTTTGGTTTGGTTAGCATATATTAAGCACTCAATAAATATCAGTTGCAGAAGTGCATGACCTAAAGATAGCAGCAAAAAGACATGGAAAGTAGGCTGGTTACAGTATTACCCTGGATAATCATGAGCTGACTGCAGTTAATGTATTTGCCAATCAAAAAAATGATACAAATTCTTTCCCCTACATCTAAAATACACTCTCATAAGTATGCAACCATTGAAGGGGAAAAAAAAAAAGCACACTTCCCCAGAAAGCAAGACAGTTTCAAAACTAAAAAGATAAAACAAGCATATTGATACACGTTATCATGCAAACCATAAAAAACAGAGTGTGTAGTCCAGCCCTGGAGCAACTACCTTTAAGGAAGAATAAAGAATCGGCAGAAAAGGGCCTGCAAGAAACAAAGGCTAGAAAGGAGACATAATCAAACAGAAGCCATCACCTGGAGAAATCCAGTGAGTTAAGTTGCTAAGTTCTATTTTATTAACAACTTACCTTAGGAAGATCTAGTTATTTTTTATTTGCATTATTCTTACATGGACACATTCAATCATCACTCTAACTAGGAGTTACAGATCTATCAATTTCCATTACTTAATTGATTCATTTCAAAATATTTTCACATTCATTACCTCATTAAATCCTCACAAATCTGTGAGTCAGGCAAGGTAGGTAACTCATTCTCACTTTTAAAATGAGTAAACTGAAAGGAGTTAAATCACTTACAAAAGGACAAAGAGAAACTTCAGTTAATATTTATTGGTGACAGTAGAGGGGGGACTACTATGGCTTAAATGATCACCAGAAGTCTTACTTCAATGTTACTAATTTTCTTTACACATATATGTATGTATGTATGCAGGCACACACATATGTATTAACCTGAGAAAACTGGAAAGCACTATACAATTTTAGGTATCAGTGCATATTCCACATACAATAGAAAACATTTTTCAAATGCAGGCTCTTATAATCAGACCTAGAATTCTTCTATAACATAGAATAGTCCTTTGGACTTAAAAAAAAAAATAGCAAAAGAGTATGAACTGGCAATTTAAAGAACAAATACAAAACAGTCAACAAATGCACACACAATATTCAATTCTCTAAACAAGTGCAAACTTAAACTGTAACAAGGTTTCATTTTTTTCTATCATATTTACAAGTTCAAAATAACAATACCCAGTGGGGAATTTACTGCTATAGGATTATAAATTGGTTATAAGCTTTCTGAAGCATGTGTTAACATTCATCAAAATTTAAATGCAAAGTATACAGTAATTACACTTGTAGTGATTTATGGTAAAGGATTATTATTAGCATGACTGCATAAGGATATACATACACATACACCCCACCCCCAAGATTTTCTCTGTATCATTGCCTCTAATAGCAAAAAACTTGAAGAAACCTAAAGATTCATGAATAGGCATAAGCTAAATAAATTATGCAATATCCATATGATGAGAACACTATAAAGACTTTTAAAAGAATGAGAAATATATATATATATATTTAAAAACATGTATTTTTTAACTTGGAGAGCTGTTCATGATATATTGTATGTGAAAAATAAGCTGCAGACTTTTATAGTAAGATTCCACTTTGTTCTATAAAATCAAAAACTTATTCAAGGGCATATATGTCTTTTTTGGGGGAACATTTTATTGTGTTTTAGATGAAAGTTTACATAGTAAACTGGTTTTCTATTCAACAATTTATACACAATTTGTTTTATGACATTGGTTGCTATACCCCAATGTGTTAGCACACTCCCAATTTCTACTCTGCCTTCCCCATGTCCATCCCTCCACAGTCCCTGCCCCTCCTAGCCTTCTCATCTTTGCTTTTGGGCAAGTGTTACCTGTTTGGTATTGTATAATTGACTATTCTAAAGAGCACTGTTCAAGAGTATATAGATGTTTAATTTATATATAAATTAATTACATATATAATGTATAATCATGGAAAACAAGAAAGACATTCCCAAGGAATACGGTAGGGAAAAATGACATCTTTATTTTCTACTATATATATTTGTGTTATTGAATTTGTTATAATAAACATGTATTAATTTTAGAAAAGTATGTTTAAATGTTTAAATGGTTAATTATAAAAATAATATAAGAACATAGAGAAGAGTACAACCTGGTGTCTACAAAAGTATTTCAGGGAAAAAATAGCAAAAACTGTTGACAATTCACAAAACATTTACTCATAGCACTAACATTTGTTGCTGTTGTTATGTGTCGTCGAGTCGGACCTGACTCATAGCGACCCCTCCTTGGGTTTCCGAGGCAGTATCACTATGGAAGTAAATTGCCCCATCTTCCTTCCGAGGAGTGGCTGGTGGGTTTGAACCGCCAGCCTTCTGGTTAGCAGTCAAGTGCCTTAGGCACTAACATATCAACCACAATTATAAATTAAAAAAAAAAAAAAGCAAAGTAGGCAACTATACCAGTCTATAATTTTGGAATAACACAAACTTGTAAGACATGACATTTTGTCCAGGTTTTCAATGAGTTGATGCTGTATGCCAGGAAGTCAGCACATGGAAATTACAGTTATTAATCTTAGCAGTAAAAGATGGATCCTATATTCCAAAAAGATCTGTAACTCTGCAAAGTTTATCAAATGTTGATAAATGTCAATAATATCATCATAACTACTTATCTTTATTTTTGTATCTGAAACACGAATTTATGTGATTGGCATGAAGAGTTCACAAAAATAAATAAAATTGTCATGCTGGTCTACAATGGTTGCAGTACTCATCAATCCACTCTATTAATGGAAAGCAGAAGTACATAATCCAAAATCATGATTACCACCAGATTATCAATACTATTAATACATGCCTTCAGAATACAACTGGCAAATCTGAAAACTACATTCAACTAAGTGACATATGAAGGAACCCACAAATGCTTTTAATATTTAAATTACAGAGCGGGGGAAGCTGTCCTATTTTCCTTATGCCCGTCCTGGTATAAACTACCTTTTTTTCTCAGGCAAAGACCTCAAGAAAGAGGTAGTTAAGTATTGATATTTCAAGTAACAACTTCCCTTCTAAACTGCAGGCCTACACACAAAGAATGCACAGATGGAATTGTCAATAAAGCAAGCAATAAGGCAGAATTCTCCTTGTTAACTAGGCAAGTAATTAGACAAAACTCACAATCTTCAAAGAGAAACAGGAGATAACTATATCTTGGATTCTATTAGTTATAAGGGAAGTACAATTCTCTAGAGTATGCATAGATTAGAATAAGAAACTGCTGATGGTGGGAGCAAGGGGGTATCAATAGCTATTTTGCCTTCAGGGAAAACAGCCTAATAATTTTACAGAATCAGATTTTCTGGACTTAATGGGCCCTTTTGAGGTCATTTAGTCCATTTTCTTGTCTAATGATTTTGATCTTTCCCCCTAGACTTCCAAGTTTTGGCCAGCTTCTGCCTGCTTCAGTGACAGCAAAAACATTCTAGAGTTATCACATTTTATCTCAGGACAGCTATTAGAAATTTCTTCATCTTCCCTAAATGAAAACTGGTTTTCCTATCATTCCATTTACCAGGTCTTAATTATATCTCATGAGACTTTAGTAATAATTCTAGTTCCTCTTCCATGAAACAGTCCTTTGAATATATGAAGGCAATTGTCATAGCTACTGGGTCTCCTCTCTAGCCTGGACACCCACTATTCCTTTGCTCATTCCTCATACGGCATGGTCTCAAGACCTTTGAAGTTTCTTGATCAGTAACTTTTTGAACACATTCTGGTTTTTAATATCTTTTTTTTTGTTTCAACCATAAAGCCAAATTACATAAAACTGAAAACATCGCAGATGTGCAGAAAGGGCAATTTGAATGTGCTGTATAATTGTCTTCCTCAGAAATAACTACTGCCAAGAGCCTGGTGCACAGTCTGCCATTTTCCCCTATACGTATATATTTATTTTCATATATAAAATCATACTCAACATGCTGCTTTGCAACGTGCTTTTTTCACAAATCAACATGTGTTACGTACATCATTCCACATTAGGACACACAGTTCTACCTCAGTTTACTAACAACATGCTATTCTACCACATGGATGTCTCTAAGTTTCCCACTTACAGATTAGTTACTTCCTTTTTTTTTTTTTTTTGGCTAATAGAAACAAAATTGTAGCGAATATCCTTGTATAAGTATGCATACATGTATATGAGTATGTATATATATGATCTTTATTTATTGTTGCTACAATCTGTATAAAATATATTATTGGAAATGGAATCCGAGACAGGAAATGTCTGTTCAAGATTTGGATAGTTTTGCCAAAATGCTTTCTAAAAGTTTTTGCCAATGTTCAGACTCACCAAGAATGTTGCTACCTTAAAGAAATACAAATACTTAGAGGCAGTCTGACCAAATCTCACAGCGTAGAACTTCATCTTTTTCCTTTGTTCTCAACACGACACTTCAAACAATATAGCCCAAGCTGGCACTTTTTGCATACTTTAACGGTGCAACCATATCATACAATATAGTCTACAACACATAAAGACTTTTGCATATATTTGTATTAAACCACATCTTTCCCAATCAATGATCAGAGAGTTACATTTTCAGATCCAAAGGCAAAGTATTCTCCTTCATCGAAGAATACTGCCTGGCAATGCAAAATACAGACTTACCAATTCATTCTTTGTGTTTAGGTCACTCTCTAGCTCGTCATAGTTCTGTTTCTGTAACATGGCCTCCTCTTTTAATGATTTGTTCAGTTTATCTTGATTTTTAATTTCCTCAAGGAACCTTGATTGTTTGTTCTTCAGCTCCTCAGTTTCCATCACCTTCTTTTCCAAATCTCTTTCTAGTCTTTCTACCTCTTCTGCCAATAAAAATTCAATAGTTTATTTACCATTATCTTTCCCAATTAAAGAAATGTAAAAATATGTCTCAAATAAAACAAAAGCAAAAGAAATCTAAGAATAGTGTAAATACAATTGTGTATTAAAAATCAGTCACTACAACACTGGGAAGAGGTAACTATGGGGAGGAAGTGGGAGGGGAGCTGTTGCAGTATGGTAAACTGTGGTCAATGTCATGAAACAAAGTGTATGTGAACTGCTGTATGGAAAGTGAATTTGCTCTGTAAATCTTCACCCAAATCACAATAAAATAATAATAATAATAAATCAGTCACTACAGTTTTAGAAAAAAAAAAGACTGGTCATCTTGAAATTGATTTATTTAAAAGAAGTAAGCATGTTGTCATTTGGATTAAATTTTAAGGGCTAATATTCTACTTCCACATATTTAATTCAATTAGTGTTGATAAGATGAGGTTTTTCCAGGTTCCCTTTAACAACTATGTAGTTTATTTGATATTAGTAATTACAGTTATTAGGATGCTGCAAACGTGTTTGCAAAACACTGTTACCTTAAAATCCCTCAAAGGCTTCATACAGTTCTTAGGATAAGATCCAAAAACTTAAATGAAGAGCTGATTAGGCTCTTTATGATCTGATCCTACCCTCCTTCTCCAGCTTCATCTTCAAGGACACCGCCACTACAGCCTTTCTAAAATTAGTTCTTCAGATTTGTGATGCCTCTTCTCACCTGCAGTCTTATTCATGCCCTCAGCCTGAGCTTAAGGAGCTCTGGTGGTAGAGCAGTTAAGACACTTGGCTGCTAACCAAAAGGTCGGTGGTTTGAACCACCAGCTGTTCCATGCAAGTAAGATGATGCAGTCTGTTTCCATAAAGATTCACAGCCTTGGAAACCCAATGGGGTGGCTATGAGTCGAATGGACTCAATGGCAGTGAGTCTGTTTTTTTGAAGTTTGGTCTGAGCTTACTGAGCTAACTATTTTGCATTTATTTAGCTCTCTGTTGGGAGCTCTGGTGGCATAGTGCCTAAGGGATTTGACTGCTACCCAGAAGGATGGTGGTTCAAACCCACCAGCCACTCCCCAGAAGGAAGGTTGGGCAATCTACTTCTGTAGAGATACTGCCTCAGGGTATCATAGGGGTGGCTATGAGTTGGATCCGACTGGCAGCTGTTTGTTTTTTAAAAAAACACTTTGAGAATCCCGCCTTTACCCTACCCCTTCTCAGGTTAGATGCTTCTCAGGGATACTCCCACATCACCTTGTACCTGCACTGTGTCCCTTGTCATAGGGAGTTGTAAACAGCTTGGCTGTCTGCTTTCCCCACTAAAGCTTCATGAAAGAAGAAGCTGCATCTATCTGGCTCACCACTGGATCCCAAGAGCCCAATACATTAAAGGTTCTTAATTAGTATCTAAAGTAATTAATGACCCATAAGCAGTTTAAACATTTTCCCCAATATTTCATTTATATGACTTTGCATTATTTATATGCATATATGCATTATTTATATTTTTAATGATTACAAAACACACTTCAGGGTAACAAATGTTGGGTGAGTAGAGTCCAAATTGTAAAAATTTACCATGCTTTTCAAATATTGGATTGAACTATATAAAACTGATGTTTTTGTTGGTCAAAAACAAACTAACATCAATTTCATACGCCTGAACATAAAGGCTCATTTCCCAATACCCTACAATGGCTATTTTATACCTCCTCCTGCTCCTCAAAACTCTTATACTCTACATTCTTTTTTTCTTTTCTCCTTCTCAGCTGATGACCTCATACTTCACTGAAAAACCAGAAGCCATCAGTGGAAACCTCCTCAATTCCCATGACCAACTCAACTACCTACATTTCCACACATCTTCTCTACTGTCTGATGGAGAAAGTGTCCTTCCTACTGAAGGACTATCCTTCCTGTTTTTCTGGATCTGATCCTCGTCTTCTCAAGGACCACAGGAACTGAACCAGGATTTGTCAACCCGCTATAGCCTTGACTATTCTGTTTCTCTGATGACTAGTTTTGTAGTTTAGTGTATTTGTTCTGCCCATTTCCTGGTCTAGAAGGTTTATTTATTTATTTATTTATTTATAAATGTTGGGCTCTATTTATTAGGTCACAGTGGAATGAAATTCTGGGAGAAAATTCCAAATCTTCACCCAACATCTCCCTCCCCCAGTGGGGGGGAAGGGGAAGGAAGGAAACTGCAAAATTTTTTTTTAAATCTCCCTCCCATTCACTCTTCAATTTATTATAATCTATAATCATGTTTCCACCATGCCTTAAACTGCTACAGTTAAGATCATCATTGTTGAAGAAAACCAGAGACTCATGGAAACAATCAGTCCAAGCGAATGTACACCATGCGATCCTCAGCTTATACGACTATTAGATGTAGGAGATCCTGGATCCCACAGAGCAATGTGGAACAAAATTCAAATTAAAAAAAAAGGGGGGTGCAGATTTGCTGGTCTGATAGAGCCTGATGGAACCACTGAGGCTATGGCCCCTAGCTGCTCTTTAGGTCTGGTAATGAACCAACTCCTGTGGCTTCCACCCAAACAAAAGACAGGCTTATGAGGTGAACATTTACATTAGATAGATACACTCCTTAGAGAGAACAATCATGGGAGAATAGAAGGGCTGTGTATGCACAGGGACATAGTTCAGGGGGCAGGAGTGCATGGGACGGAAGGACACAGGGAAGAAGGAATTATGGGGAGGAAGTGGGAGGGGATCTGTTTCATTATGGTAAATTGTAGTCAATGTTATGAGACAAAGCTGTATGGAAAGTGAAATTTACTCTGTAAACTTTCACCCAAATCACAATAAACAAACAAAAAGATCACAACTGTTATGTTGCTAATCTAAAGCATACTTCTGTGTTTGTCTTACTTCATATCTCAGCACTGAACATGGTTGACCACTACCTCTCTTGAAACCCTTTCTTCTCTGGCTTTTGCAACTCATTATTTCCAGTTTTCTCCTACCTTGCCAGGCTTTCCTTCTCAGTCTCTTTTCTGAGCTCCTCTTCTTCTTCCCAAGTCCTACCTAGCTGAGTTAATCAATTCCCAGTGATTTAAATACCACATTTATGATAATGACTCTCAGATTTCTATCTCCAGTTCATCTTTTGTCTGACCTCCAGCTATGGTGGTTCAGTGGTGGAATTCTTGCTTCCCATGCAGGACACTAGGTTTGATTTCTGGTCAATGCACCGCATGCACAGACATCATCCACCTGTCAGGGGAGACTGTCAGGGGAGGCTATGATGCTGAACAAAGTTCACTGGAGCTTCCAGACTAAGAGAAAGACTAGGAAAAAAGTCCTGGCAATCTACTTTCAGAAATCAGGCAACAAAAACTCTACGTGTCATGAGAGTCCGATCTATAACCAATCATGGTGCAGGACCAGGCAGCATTTCGTTCCGTTATGCACGGAGTCACCATGAATAAGGAGTGACTTGATGGCAGCTAACAACAATAACAACTTGATAGCTCTATTTAGTTGTCTCATAGACATTTCAAATTCAACATGTCCAAAACAAAACTCTTAATTCTTTTATTTCCATATATAGTACAGTGAATTACTTAATATGGCCCTTCTAGCCATAACTCCCACAGAATGATTGGCTGGGACAACACAAATAAGGTATCTATGGGTGTCCAATAGTCTGCTTATGCAAAAAAGGTACATGGAACCCTTGCTGGGGAAGGGGGTAGCCTTGAAACTGATAAGGAGCTTGCTATATAACCAGATTCCCTGACAGAAGTTTTAGAGAAAGAGTTGGAGAAAGAGAGGGAGCTATAACACTAAAGAGAATAAGAAACAGTGGTATGGCAGCAGCAAGGGTGATAACGGCACTAAACAGGAGGAAGGAGACCAGCATGAGAAGGCTGTGATGGGGCATGCCAACCCACAGAGCTAAGACCTGCAACACTCGTAAGGCCCCAGCAGGACCTGGAGGCACAGGACAGGAAGAAGCTGTCATGATGGAAGAACTGTATCCTGAGTTGCTCCTGTTAACTTCTAAGTTGATTCTGATCCCTAATTGTACCCTGTTACTTCCCTAATAATGCATTTAACTATAAGCACAGTTTGTAAGTTGTAGTAGGAAATTACTGAACCCAAAGATAGGAGGAATAGTTGGAGTGGTACAACAGCTTAGAGAATTTGGACATTTGGGACATCTTTAACCTTTGCCTCATAGGAATCAGCTTTGTACTGATTCTTATACGAGAAATTATTAATTGACCATAAATGATATCACCATCTAAGCACTTACTCCCAGAAGGTTAGGAATTATCCAATCCATTGGAAATGCTGCTTACTTTACCTCTACAATTGATCTAAAATATTTCATCTTTTTTTTCTATTTCCAACTCTAACACCTAAGTAGGCGCTCTGGTGGCATAGTACCTAGGGCATTTGACTGCTAACTGGAAGGCTGGTGGTTCAAACCCACCAGCCACTCCTCGGAAGGAAGACTGGGCAATCTACTTCCTTAGAGAGACTACCTTGGAAACCCAAGGAGGGGTCGCCATGAGTCAGAACTGACACCTAAGTACGCACAGGCCACTAACATTTCTAGCCTGGATGACTGCAATAGCCTCCTAACAAACAGGTCCCTTCACCTCCACTTTGCCCAACTCCAAGTCAATCTCCACTCTGCATCAAAAATAATCTTCTCAATAAACAAACTGGATCATGTCCCACCCATGCTTAAAAATGACCAATGGCTTCCCACTGTAGTTGAAATAAAATTCAAACTCTAAGGCCCTGCATCAACTTGCTTCACCCTATCGCTCCAAACTTTTTCATGAGCTATCCTCCAGACCTGTGGGCCTTTTTTTGAGGTCCTTGAACTCATCAAGGTCTTTCCAACCCCAAACTACAAACTGCTATCCCTCCCTGAACGCGATTCTTCACATTATTAATCCTTCTTCCCTTTGCCTTCAGCTTAAATATCAATTCCTCAGAGAAGCATTCCTTTACAATTTTCCCTAAAAGGAAGTCCTGCTCTGTTATTTTATTTGAATTTACTTGTTTTTTTGTCTGTCTTCTTCCCTAAAACATGAGCTACATAAAGACCAGCCCCATATGTTTGTCCACTACGTGTCAAGTACAATGTGTGGCTCCCAGTACATGCTCAATAAATATCTGTTGAATGAATTACTTCATGGTACCATTTTTCATACACATTTTGATAGCATTATAAAGTTCATAATATATTTTTCTGGATAATGTCTGAAAAAATAAATTTTTCCTCAACCTACACTTGGTTCTTTTACAATGTCAACTTACCTAAACTGAATCTCTCAAAAGCCTCCTGTCTGTCCTGAGTGGTTACTGGGTGACCTTCTAAGCTTTCCAGCGAGCGGAGGTGAAAAATGATAAAGTGCTGGTAATGAGGAAGAGCCACAATCGGATTTTCAAGCAGGATCAGAGATGTTAAATCTTGAAGTGGTTTCAACTTGCTTACATTCTGCAGCTGAACAGATATATAACATTAGTATTAATATAATTTAATTTGAAAACCATAAGCCTACCTAAGGGAAGTAAAAAAGCAATGGACACTGCTCTTAATATGACAAGGAACCTACTCATGGAACACATTATCTAAAAGTGGTAATGGTGAGAGGGATAAAAAGAGAGAACACAGTTCTTGAATATCTATCTATAATGTCAATGAAATACTAGGCATTTTCATTCACCATTTCAACTGTAATTCCTCCAACAACTTATGAGGTAAATATCACCTTAATTTTAAAGATGAAGAAACTGAGGTTCATACAAGTTAGGTAACTTGCCATGGACCAGAGCTTGTAAATGAATGAAATAAGATTTGAATTCAGGTCTGTATAATTCTAAACCTATAGTGTTTCCATTACACTGATTGAACACATGGAAAATATAGATGGCTATAATAAAGATTACAGTAAATCTTAAGATAACAGAGTTACAACTGATAGTTAGAAGAAATACAGGTATGTAACACTGCTGGTGGGACTGTCAAATGATACAACCACTGTGGAAAGCAGTATAGTGATTCCTTAAAAAGTTAGAATTAGAAATATCATTTAACCCAGCAATTCCATTACTAGGTATACATTCTAAAGAAGTAAGAGCCAGGACAAGAACAGATATATGCACACCCATGTTCATCCCAGCACTATTTACAACAGCAAAAAGATGGAAACAACCTCAGTGCCCATCAACAGAAAAATGGATAACCAAACTATACACACAATGGAATACAATACAACCCTAAAGAATAACATAGATTCTGCAAAACACCGCAAAATGTGGATGAAGTTGGAGGACAGTATGCTGAGTGAAATAAGCCAATCACAGAAGGACAAATATTGTATTAGTCCATTACTGTAAAAAGTCAAGGCAAGATATGTCTATGCAGGGGTGGGGGGAGCTCTGGTGGTGTAGCGCCTAAGGCATTTGACTGCTACCAGAAGGTTGACAGATCAAACCCACCAGCCACTCCTTGGAAGGAAGATTGGGCAATCCACTTCCATAGAGATACTGCCTCGGAAACCCAAGGAGGGGTCACTATGAGTCGAACTGACTTGATGGTAGCGAGTTTGTTTTTTCTGGATGCTGGGGGGATTGGCCCATGACCATGTATAGGGTTGGGAGACAATGTTTCTACAAGTGTATTTGTATGTTCTATAAGAATTCCCAGGTATACAGTAGAGCTGACAAGGGACAAGGTTGTAGTCATTTCTTGGCCCCAGCCAGCTACCCAGAGGGAGTGGGTAGTTGGACCTGTGGGCTTGGGACTATGGTCATAGGGGACATCAAGCTCCACTGGCATAATACACTGCACAAAAACACTGTTCTACATCCTACTTTGGTGAGTAATGTCAGGGATCATCAAAGCTTGCAAGTGGCCAGCTAGATGCAACAATAGTCTCTCCTTGTCTAGAGCAAAGAAGAATGAAGAAAACCAAAGATGCATGGAAATAATTAGTCCAAGCGACTGGTATACCATGCGATCCTCAGCTTATACGACTATGAGACCAGAAGAACTAGATGGTGCCCGGCTACCACTGTTAACCACTTGGAGTGGGATCTATGTACAAGATCCTGGATAGAGTGGGAAAACAATGTGGAACAAAACTCAAAATCATATTTTAAAAAAAGGGACCATGTTTGCTGGTCTGATAGAGCCTGGTGGAACCACTGAGACTATGGCCCCTAGCTTCCCTTCAGGTCTGGAATTGAACCCACTCCTGTGGCTGCCAGCCAAACAAAAGACAGGTATATGAGCTGAACATTTACGTTAAGTAGATATACTCTTTGGAGAGATCAATCATGGGAGAATAGAAGGACTGTGTATGCACAGGGAGACAGCTTGGGGGGCAGCAGTGCATAGGAAAGAAGGACATAGGGAAGAGGTAACTATGAAGAAGTGGGAACAGAGCTGTTGCATTGTGGGAAAATGTAATCAATACCATGAGACAAAGTGTATGTGAACTGCTGCATGGAAAACGAATTTGCTCTGTAAACTTTCACCCAAATCAAAATCAAAATTTAAAAAAAAAAAAGAATTCTCTAAATCAGTGATTCTTAATGAGATTTGGAAGAATGTATGTTTTGAAAAAAGCATATTCAGTAATGCAATGTAACTTTATATTTAATACAACCATAGCCTTATTTTATATTCTAAAATTTTAAAGCATTTTCACATTTATCATTTCATTTTAGCCACATAACCCTCCTACAGAGAAATAAACAAATAATTTCCTCTAAATTAAACACTATATAACGAATTTTAGAAACATTAAGAGATCTTCCAAGTTCACAAAAGTGAGTCCAGACATCTTTCATTTTCTACTTCTGCTTTTATTTTTTTACTTCTTTCATTTGATGTTTGGTTAAAAGACCAACAATCTTAAAAGAAGAAATCCATTAAAAACTAAAACCAGTAGCTCCATCTTTAATCCTTTTTTTTCAACAAGTCCAAAAATTTGAAAAGTAATTATTCCCACTATGATTAACTTACCGATGATACCTTGTTGCCTTTCAGATTGAGGACCCGCAAAGATTTTAACTTCTTCCCTAACCATACTGGAATATGTTCAATCTCATTTCCTGCAAGGTTTAGCTTTTGCAGATGACACATATTTTCTATGCCTTCAATTTTGCTGGAAACCAAAGGATAAAATCAAACTTAAAGAGTACAATGACAAGAGTTCCTCCATTGAATTTTTTAGAATAAACAGCTTTGTTCTCACTTGGGGTTACTTTTCATAATTTTAATTTATCAGTTGTTTTCATAAATGAAAACCAAAACAAATGTGGCTAAAAACAAATTTATTAGAAGGGCTAAACTGCCAACCTTTCACTGCTGTGCCCAGGAATCCCATCCATCTTACTATCAGACTTCAGGGCCCCACAACTCTAAGAAACATACTAAGCCTTGAAATAAGTGACATAAGCACCAACCACCACAAAAATCTGTCAACAATCTAAGCCCTGGACTGTTTAACATACAGCTGGAATAAACATTACAGACTTGAAACAAACCAGAAAAAGAGAGTCTATCTATGGCAATGTCATTCATTAACCATTATGAAAAGTAATAGCTGATAGCCAGGGAAGACCTAAAAAACTCAAACGCACACACTCTTCTACGTGATAAAGTCTTACACAAGAGACCCCCCCAAAAAAAAAAAAACCAAACTCACTACCACTGATGCTCTTAACTATTACCTTAAGTTACCACAGAATGGTTATTTATGCCAATAGAATATGGCTCCCATTTCTGAGCTAGTGAACCCCTGATGATGATATTATTTATCAGTATAAATATTTTAATCACATTATTTAAATTAGTGAACAATTTATCACTCATAATGACCAATCTTGACTGATGAAGTATTTGTTGTTGTTGTTGTTAAGTGCCGTCGAGTCGTTTCCGACTCATAGCGACCCCATGCACAGCAGAACGAAACACTGCCCGATCCCGC